CAATGAACACAAGGGAACACAGAATAGACTGAGGCTGCAGGTGTCCTTAAAAGGGATAAGTGTTGCTCTCAGCAGCCAGTTCAGTTACAGGGTCAAATGTGGAAGCTCAAGAGCTTGGCCCAGTTGGGCCTGACTGACCAAAGGCCTTAATACCCTACATAGAGCTCTGTCAGGACTTTGTAGCCCATGGGGCAGTGTCAGTGCCACTGGAGCTTCCAGAGCTTCCTAGCCTCAGCCATGTGCTGCTTCTGCTTGGTCTTATCACTTCCCTGTAACAATGCTGATTTGCGGGCAGGCAGGCAGGCAGGCAGGCAGTCCATCCCTGGGGTCTGTGCTGAAATGGGTGGGGCCAGCATGGGAAGTGTTGAGGGTAGGCAAAGCGGGGACTCAGGATGTGGGGGTGAGAGGGGCTCTGGGGTGCGGGGAGTGGGAAGAGGAAATAGCACAATGTAAAACTATTGCTGCAGTCAAAGTTATCAGGTATACTAGGTTAGACAGGGGAAAAAAAGAAAGCACTCAATCCTATTGAATATGTTTTACATTGTATAACTTATTAAATATTCATTGAAGTAGGACTGGTACTCAGGTGTCTTAAACACAGAGAAATAGTCTCTGGTTTAATGGTCATTTACGTATTTTTAAAAAGTAAAACAACTCTGATATTAATACCCCTATATTGGGCAGATTTTTTTTCAACCAAGTCTTTTTCTATTTTAGGGACTAATTCAACTATTAGGCCAGGGGGTATTCTGGTAGTAGCTCTCCCTCATTTTTCTACCTTATATAAAATACTCAACTATTCACTGAGCTGGAGAAAGAGAGAGAATGTGTGCACATCAATATGAAATTGTGCTAGCATGTGCTAGCAAACCTGCATTAGTTTAATCTAACTGGAGTGGGTAACAATAGCAATGAAGACAAGGCGGCATGGTCTCATAATCAAGCTATTTATTTAGGTTGGCATGGTCTCATAATCAAGGTATTTAACCAGGTTTATAAGGTCATGCTGCCATATTTTTACTGATGTTGTTTCCCATGCCAAGTACAGAAAGTCAGTAATATAACTGAGGGGAGCTGACTAAGGCAGGAGCCCCAGTCACTACATCTGTGTGTAGAGGGAGAGTGGTGGCAAAAAAGCAGCTGCTGCCTCAGTGGCAGCTAACCACATCTCAGTAGTCAGAACAGTAAGGACTGGTGCTGCCCTGCACACCTTTGACTGCCTTGGGTGCAGACCTGTCCTGCTATACCTGTGGAGAAAGTTAATTCAAGTGTGGTAGTACTTGCTACAGTCACAACTTCAGTTTGATGTGTAGGCAGACTTTAGTCTCATCAGTTTGCTTACTTGGCAGGTGAATCATTGGGAGGAATAATTTGTTAATAATTCTGCAAGGTGGAATAATTTGTTAAGCATCAGCATAGTGTTCTTTTTTGGGGTGAGGCTTGAGACACATTTTAAAGTTGGTAGGGAATATGTTCCTACGGTCTCATTGGCTTTAAGGTGATGAGCATGGAGTCTGCAGAAGGGGCGTCTGCAGAAAATGCTCTCATGCCCCCAGACCAGATCAAATTGGAGAAAAAGTAGCAGGAAGAGTTGGGATGTAGTTCCATGGCTCCATCCTTTTCTGCAGCAATCAGGAAAATGGAGTAAGAAGTATCCTAGGAAGAGATGTAGTAGGAGGATGCACAGCCTGTGAACAAGTGATGTGACAATGTGCTGATTAATGCAAAATGTCCCCTGATGGTTCCCTTGCACAGTTTCACACCATCTTTTACTATCAGTGAGACATTCTAATCAACTCTTGTTTGTAATATACTGTACCAGTGCTACTAGAAATTCTTGCAGCCATAGGGTTTGAAATTAACTTTGAAAAACAACATTAAACTGTCTAGAAAAAAAGGAACTTAAAGTAAATATATTAAGTGCTTTCTTTTGATTTCATTGAGTATTGAGGCCATAAAATGTTCCAGATTAATCATGTATTTTTTGTTTAAGTCATTGAGCTGTCTCTAGTTATCCCATTCTTATCAGTGAAGCTATACAGATGTTGCTGAGAACAGAAATTGGAATTTAAGGTGTTATAGACCTCATCATGCCTTATGTTGTAAACAATGCTCCTTAAGTGCTTTGCATTATCTGATAAAATATATCAGCAGAAAAAATAAATACTTGTCTTGCCTACAGGAATGTGTGGGAAGCTGTGGGACCAAACTAAGTTAAGACAAAGGTTATCCATTAGAACTGTTCACTGATGAACTCCCTTACTCCTTCAGAAAGCTTATCGCTAGCCAGAAAGGTTATTTTAAATGTGCTATTCTTATGTATGGTGTGCCAGTACAGCTCATGAGTCTCCTGAAAATGCATTCAGTTTTAGTAAATGAAAACATTGCGGGGAAATATTTTAGTTGTGTAGCAACGGTGCTGTGGCGGGAGGGAAGAAAATGAGAACGTTACTTTTCCTGCTTTCATTGGATACATATGGAAGTACCACAACTTTCTTCTGTAAATCTGGCCCATTTGCAGGCCCTGAATTTTTAAACACAATGGATGTATAGGACCCTTAAAACTATGCCCTAATCCCCGAACAACTACAGCTCTCTATAGAAGTGACAGAATCCTCCCTTTACAAAGACTCCCCATATTGCAGTGCTCTTTTGGAAGTGCCCCTTTTTGTTAGGTCTAAGCATTCTGCCCCTTCTATTGCATATAATCACAGAAGTACCATCACATCCATGGCAGACACCGCTGGTATTGGTCCTTATAGGTACTCACTTTGATTTTTGACCATCATTATTACAGAAATATGAAGTGCAAGGATTAAGAATTACTGTTCCTTTCAGTGCGGACTGTTCACATAATCTTAATCAAGTGGAGGCTACTTGTGAGAGCAGTTTTCTCAGTAATTCCTGAAGAGTTTATTGAGAACCCAGTAAATCCAAGGTCATGCAGCTCTCTGCTTCAAGGGCTTCTAAAGCAAACATCTTTGAAATATCTCTAAGTATTACCATGAGTTTACTCTGCTAGCTGTACCCCAGACATCCATCGTCATTCGTTGACATTTTATAAACATAAACAGATTTTTGTATCTTTCATTAATTCTCATTGGCCACATGCGTTTGAAATCAGATTACCACTTTTTTGCATTATGAAATGAGGTCTACAGTGTACATACAGTTTATCTCCTCTAGTATATCCATGAGGAATACCCCACTTTAATTGATTTTAACTTTACAAGCCATGTTATTTCAACTGGAAAAGCTGCTATCAGAACTAATAGGAGCAAAATAATGCCTAAATAATGAAAGGCTAGTTCCATGATGAACATTTAGAGTGGCATAACTGCATTTATTATTTTACCTGAGAGATGTGCTGTTAATTCAAGTCAGAGATTTCCTGATGCATACTAAGACATAGACTCTCCTCATTTATTGGTGTCTTGCTTGTCCCATAGCAGTCTGGAGGGAAAAAGACTGATTTTAGATTGGCCCCAATGCTATATGCCTGGGCATGACTTTATGCAGATTCATGACCAAAGGGTGACATACTGTGCTATTAAAAATGAACCTTAGCTTCTTATATAAAATGTGGCACAAACTGTAAGTGTGCCTTGAAAACCTAACTATTCCTTTGCTTCCAGCTTGCCCTAAATGTATGGTGTGATATTTTAGTAAATGTTTGAATTACTGCTGTTAAGACGAAACAATTCACAAAACTATACCAACTGCCACATTTTTGACGAATTATATTAATGCAAGCCATTAGTAAACTGTGCCCTAGGTTTTTTTTCTGCTAGTCCCTGGTAGCTCTCAGGAATTCATTATAAATAAATGGAGAGGAATATGGCACGAGAGGGATTTATGAGTTACTGAAGAAAGGAAAAACAACTGTCTGCTCTGAAGAAGGGAAGTTTCCAAAGAGAGAGGAAAACTGCACCTTGAAAAACAAGATTGATTATAATACAAAACAGCAATTTTTAATAAGCTCTGCTAAACCTCACTAATTTGCCAATGAGCTGCCTGGCAACATGTCTTTCACTTCATCTGCACTCTAAATAAAAATTAGGAACAGACGGAGGTGATGCTTGGGTCATAGCAGTAACTTAACTAACAGCTCAAAGGCTCATATTTCCATTTAGACAATCCAAATGTTTCGGTAAGCTTCAAGAATTGTTCTTAAACAAGCCTGGTGAGATTCTAATCTACAGTTCGAGCCTTAAGAGAGATTGTCCAGATATCTAGTATTTTGATAAAGCAGTGCTAGTAGCTAACCTTTGTTTTCTTTAAGGTGTGTAAAAATGAAAAGTAGATTGCATGGGTGGATGTTTTATATTAAATTTCAATAGGCTCCAGAAATGGATAAAATATATATACGCATGAGACTAGAGAAAAGAAAAGCTATTGTACTTGTTCTGAGATGAAATACTTATCTTGACTTTTGCACTCCAGACTATAAGATTCAGCAATAAATGTACTTTATTTCGCTATTTAAAGAATAGTAAAGTTACAGGCAACATGAACATAACACGACTCTTATTAATCTGGTCCAGCCACAGGCTTTTCAGTTTTTTGTGGGAAGATGGGTTATCAAAGTGTATTTCGTCGAGGAGAGGAAGTCTTTGTTTTTAACATTCTTTGGAGGCAACAACGGCTTGATAGATATAGGCACATTTTTCCTGAGAAACAAATTGCTGTAAAACAAATTTTAACTGATTACATTTTCAATTAATTAAATAACATGTTCATTAATAAAGACTGTCAGGAAAGTGTTGTTTATTTATAGCTATTACTAAGAAAATGTTGCTAACTCCTATGGGGATGATTTACCCTGAGTCACACAGGCAGTCTATGGCAGAACAGCAAATAAACATAGGCCTTGGTGAAAAATTTACGTCAAAATTGTGTTTTGACAGAAAACCATGTTTA